TTCCACATCCATCAAACCTACTACTTATCCCATTTTTAATATGAACAATATTATCACATTCAACCTTTACAACGCCTAATTGAGGGATTTCGGTGTATGTACTTGCCAATCAAAGTGTTATTGTCACGCTGTTCGCTCTCCGTCCTCATCTACCTCCTCCTTGTAATAATCGTCTTATGTGACGAATATCTGTATCTAATTCGCTGAACATGTCTAGTAATCGTCTTCATGGAGTTTAAAGTCAGGTGGATAGTGTTTGTAGAGTTTGACTGATCTTCTGATGAACTCTTGAATAACGTTGTCCATTTTGTAGGCGTCGCCAAACCAATCATCGTCCGGTTGTTCAACAAATGTTGATAATACGACGATAACGACATCAGGAAGTGGAACAACCTCAGCGGTATTCCCTCAACACCAACAACAACAGCAAAAACAATTAAGCGCAAGCGAAATAAAGGCTGCAAAAATTCGTGAAGCGTTAGAGAAGATGCGTGAAGCGGACATCAAAAAGTTATACGTGAAGTTCTTTTTGGATGACGGTACATCGACGGTGTCGATATTGGTTGATGAACGATGGAAAGTTGCTGACGTTATGAAGCATATAGCTGATAAAGCCAAAGTGACACTCACACAACAGCATGCAATCGTCGAAGAATATCCTGAACTTTTTATCAGTAAGTCGTCGATAGAACCACTCTCTTGTTCCTCTAAGAATCTCTTACCAAAAAAATGCTCGTGTCATTAAGCATCGAATGTTTAGTGATGATGATGGTGCGTACTGATTGCGCAGTCCTTTCGTAGGTCTTTCATCGTTTGCATGTTCAATTATTTGTACCAGATTTACTTTACCAAATCAATAAGCGGGTACTGAGAAATGCTAAATTCGATTGTAAATCGCATGCAAATTCAATTTGAATTGTTTTTTTTTTTGTTTTTTTCAGAGCGAATCTATGAAGACAACGAATATTTGGTAGAGAATATAATGATGTGGACGTTGAATTCACAAAATAAATTGTATTTCACTCGTCGACCGGATAAATACGATTTCATGGACCGACCTGAAGAGTATTTATTGACTGAACGAAATATCGATGTGATCAATAAAGGCCCTCCATCACCAGACACGAAGCGACGTATTGTTAAGGTTAGTACTGAAAATTCATGACTGAACGGAAAGCATGATAAGTAATGTGAATGCAAAAATTACTGCTGGTATCAACGAGTTTAAATGAACGAAACACATCAATAACTCATCTGAACTTGAACGGATCAGTCAGTGATTAGTCAGTAAATTTGTACTGACGATTATGATGGTTTATACACTTTGTTCAGTTTTCCTGAACCTGAAGCTGCACTAAAGACTGCGCTGATCGTCGGTGCGCAATGATGTTGCTATATGATTGAATCATTGCTTTGAGTAGATGCTAATGAAACCAATTTGAATAGTATTGAGATGAGGTCAAGAGAATTGATCGATGCTTTTGAATACCTGCCATTGTTGTGGTTAGGTAACACAATCGTTACGATCGTCACTATGTCACACACCCGTTGTATAATCAAGAGCAGTGAAAGATGAGTAGAGGGACTCTCTTCCTATTGCTTAGCAAACACTGTCTCGTGTATTCTTGACTCTTTCTGAATTATGCTCTTATGATAGGGAATGAATATTTTTGATTTTCATAGCACTTGTATTGTTTTAAAATTAAAATTTCTTACAAACAAAAAATTTCGTGTAAAAAAATTTGTCGTGGATTAAAAATGATTCTGAGAAGATAGTGATTTCGAAAAGAATTCATAAAGTACACGAAATGTTGAGCGAGGAAAACAAAAGAAACTGCTGCAAGAAAAAGTTGCAGATTTTTTTGATATTTGGCTATCACACTGATTCATCACCAGATTCAGCAACGATTCAGCACAGCTCTTTTGAAGAGTTGTTCGTTATTTTTCGTGAAACTTATGAATCGGTATTTGTTCATAGTACTTGAAGGAACTCTCTTTTCTCAAATTCACAGTTGTTCTAAATTTTAGTGACCCAATTATGAAGAGGATGTTGAGGCAAAAAACGCAAAACAAAAAACAGCTTGTAATGGATAAATGAAAAGAATTCATCTTGGATGCGTTGTAGAAAATGGTGTTTATTTGGGGGTGTAATGTCGTGAGGGATGTTTTAGTCGTTAAACAATGAGTTGTTTTTATTATCATAATTACAAACATACCGCTTATTATTATTATTAAACAGTGCTAGCCGAACGAGTTGTAAACAAACAACAATGAGTTGTAATGACTGATGAAATAAATAAATAAGAAAATAAACGCTAACCGCGCATAACCGTTAATGAAGTTTGTTTGCACAAAAACTTCTTTTGTTCTTCAGAATTTTTCGTTGATCATATGTTTACTCTCTTCTCGATCTATTCATTCGATTGATCACGAAATTTTTCGTTTATATCTGTTTACATAGCTCAGTCATTTCTGTTTGTATTGCATTGCTTTCATGATTTTAAAAGACTGAAACTGCACCGCACTGTCCCCCATATTTATTCTTCTTTATCACAATTGCTACCATATCACACCTCATTTCTCCACATCAAGCGTTCAGTAGAAAAGTACACAAGGTTTTTTTAAAGGAATTCTTCGAAAACGATAGCGTACAACCGCCAGAGATAGAAGGATGGTTGTTGCTGAAATCGGACGGTAAAAAGTCGTGGAAGAAGCACTTCTTTGTGTTGCGATCGTCAGGTCTTTACTACTGCACTAAAGGAAAGAGTCGAAGTTCAAAAGACTTGCAATGCTTAATGACACTGCAAACGAATCAGGTTTATTCGTGCACTGAGTGGAAACGAAAATATAAATCACCAAACAATTTTGGATTCGCCATTAAGGTTTTACTTTGTCATTCATGCAAATAACTCAATACTTTATCCTACCATTACCTCCGACAAAAATGTTGTTTTTGTCTGTTGAGGGAAAGTTTCTCAATTAATTCCAAAACGATCAATCAAGCGATCGATTTTTCAAATGTTTTCCCTCCATATCTTTCAATCATGTAAGAGGTGCACGACATTTATGCAGGTAATCAAAATCAAAACACAACGACATCATACATGGTTTTGTTTTGATTTTCTTACAGCTTAAAGTTTCAGCATCCCAAAATCCAAGTCAAGGCATCAAAGTATATCAAATACGTTTGCGCAGAAGATGCAGTGACGTTCCACAAATGGATGGTTGCACTGAGAATTGCTAAAGTTGGTTTTTTATTGATGCACTCGCAATAGCTTGTTGCTTGTGTTTCGTATTGTTCAGATCTCTACGCACTCGCCGTTTTTCTTTAATTGTACATTCTTAGACAGTAGGTCCGAGGATATTTCTAGAGTTTGTCATTCAGTTCGTTTAGAAATTCAGCTACACACCATGAGAAAGTAAACAATAAATACATTAAGATATGCGATTGTTTCTAGAATGGTCGTCAGCTGTACGATAACTACTGGGATTGGCGAAGGCGTTTAGAAAATCCAACGGTACAGCCGATGAAAGTAGATATCCCGCAGGTGTCAGCACCCGAATGTCACCGACTCTCAACAATTGAACTGCGGAAGAATCAGATGTCACGTCAAGATCCAGTACCACTGCTGAATTTGAATCGTGATTTGAAAAGTCCTGCATCAATGAGCTCAAGAAGGTCGACCACAAGTACCATCAATAATGACACGTGTTCATCCAGTCATAACAGCATTGTTTTTGATCAGGTCAACAGCATATTATCATTAGTACACATTTCTAATGCTCTCACAATAATCTTTTTTCTGCAGCATTCACAAGGAATTTGTTAAAAGGAACCTATGTTTGAGCAAGTTTGCATTAGAACTTTCTCAATGCAAAATATCATCCCAGATGACAAGTAAATTTATCTGAAAACTGAATACGTTCATGAATACAGTGCGCTGAAGTATTGAATGAAGTGCGTTTTTAGAGTGATGATATAATGACCGGTACAATAAAACGAGCACCTTGCGACATTCAACAAATCCAAACTCGACGCCAATCCTCTCAAGCTGAGATGTACACCGGATCGGGTAGTGGGTCAACGTCCGTCAATAGCGCTCCGGATGTGACTGCTGACAGTGATAGTGACGAAGAGCAATTCCCACCCCCACCACCTACCGTACTGCCGAACAGTTATCATGATGAAGCATCCGCTCATAAAAGTATATCCGTTTCCAGTCTTAGTTTAAAAAAATATCATTCTATAAATGTTTTGTTGTTATCGTTGCGATATCGGCTAAGCATGAAACATTCCTTACAGATTTTACGGAAGTTCATCTATCACTAAGTTAGGTGTAAATTAGATGTGACCATTTCGTTTCGACTAAAATGATTAAAAGGATATTGCAGTACCTTCATCAGGTGTGTACCAGCCTACGGCAATAAGCGATGTGGCATTATTGGCCAATCGAGTGAATAATAACAATAATAATATCGACAATCACAACCAAATAAACGCTACAGCTATGTATGCATCCAGCATAAAACAGTCCCATGTGCCAATACCGCCTACGAAACCGAATTTACCTAATGCAAATTTCAAGAAGACCTATAGTGAGGTGAGTCATTGTTCAAACATCATTGCTAATCTATTTACTTTTCGTTTCATTAGCGTAGTTGATCAAGTATTATCTGTATATTTATCCTTCATCACCCTCTCATTTCTTGACAGGGAAAATCTTATGATTATAAAAGATGAAGGCTTGAAAACCTAGTGAAGATACCAGGAATGATGTTGGATTATCTATGCAAGTTAATATTAGAAATAACACGTAAAAGGATATAATGATTATGTTACTTATAATGAAGANGTAATGATGTTATGATTATTATATGTGTAGCGCAAATGAAGGAATGGCTTTAATAGAAAATTTAAGTAGGCAGTTTTGGTTTCAGAGTAAAGTGAATGGTATGCCCTCAACAGCGCCCGTAATGAAGAGTGCTGTCACACCGAAGAAAATGCCTCCCCCTCCACCACCAAAGCGATCTGATACAACAAGATTGCAACACCCTGTGAGTTTCAGTGAAACTTTGTCAATCTAAAACATAAATTCTTTGTCATTGATTTCTTCAACTAGGTTATTGATGTATCACATCGATTTGCACAAACGAAACCTCAGCTGAATTTTTTTAGACTGCAACTGCTGACGCCTTACATAGTGAACTGGAGATGGTGATGGCAAGACGGTTGCAACGTATAGAACAACATTGAAATACTGAATGATTAACTTATTTGGTCATATCATCATCTGCAATCACAATTCTAGTGTATACGTATCGCTTTAAACATGGACTGTCGATTTGAATTGTCAAAATATGGTGGGATATAATAACATTCAGTTATTGTGAATGTTTAATTGTTTGTTATTTGATTAGTCGCATTGTACGCCCCAACAACAGATGACCGTTGTGTGATGCTCAACAA